ACAGGCTCAACCATGATGGTTACAAGCTGACTGTCCCCACAGGCTCAGTTTGGAGTATTTGTTCCTGACCTGTCGGTGCTATTTTTGGGAGGCTGTGGAATGTTTAGGAGGTTGGGCCTGACTGGCAGAAGCAGGTCCCTGGGAGCATGCCTTTCTTTGTGTGTTTATTAGTGTGTATAGGGGCATGGCATGGATATTCATGTGTATGAGGGTGCACCGACTGTGTGGGTCCAGGAGATTGAACATGGTTGTCATCCTCAGTGACAAACTCTTTTCTTTCTTTCTTTCTTTCTTTCTTTCTGTCTGTCTGTCTGTCTGTCTGTCTTTTTTTTTTTTTTTAGTTTTTCGAGACAGGGTTTCTGGAGCCTGTCCTGGAACTAGTTCTTATAGACCAAGCTGGCCTCGAACTCACAGAGATCCGCCTGCCTCTGCCTCCTGAGTGCTGGGATTAAAGGCATGCGTCACCACCGCCTGGCCAAACTATCTTTTCTAATAAGGCATCTCACCAGTCCCTGGACAGATATAGAATCACTATGGAACATGCCTGGGGGCACGTTTGTGGGGGAGTTTCTAAACTAGGTTAATTGAAGTGGGAAAAGCCACTGTAGATGTGGGCAGTAGTAATTCATGTGTTGGGTCCTGGAGTGAATTAAAGGGAGAAAGTGAAAACTAGGTGTGGTCTCCTATAATCCCAGCACTACGGGGGCAGAGGCAGGAGGATCTCCAGGAGTTTGAGGACAGCCTGATCACATAGTGAGTTCCATGTCAGCCAGAGGTACACAGTGAGACCCAGTTTCAAAAAAGTGACAAAAAGACAGACAGATAGACAGACAAAAAGAGAACAATTAAGCAAGGTGGGGGTGGAGATGGGGTAAGCACCAGCCTCTGCTTCCTGATCGTGGATGCCATGTCACCAGCTGCCCCACACTCCTGCCACCCACACTCATGCCTTCTCACCACCATGGACTGTACCTTCACACTGTGAGCTGAAATAAACCCTACCTTCTTATTTTTTTTTTTTTACACATTTATTGGTGTGTGCGCACACCTCATGTGCCATGCTATGTGAGTGGAGGCTAAAAAGAACCAGTTTTCCTATCATGTGGGTCCTGGACATTGAACTCAGGTTGTCAGACTTGGCAGCAGTCACCTTTGAGTCCAAATCCTTCTTTTTTAAAAGTTGCTTTTACCAAGGCCTTTGGTCTGCTCACAACAATGAGAAAATTAACTAATTCATGGTTAACAAGGGTCTGATTCTTTGGGGACAACTAGACCTCTAGTGACTTTTCTCTGACCTCAGGACAGAAAAAAAAATACTTTTTTTCTTTTCTTCTTTTTCTTTCTTTCTTTTTTTCTTTTTGGGTTTCTCTACGTTTTGGAGCCTGTCCTGGAACTCGCTCTGTAGACCATGCTGGCCTCAAACCCATACAGATCTGCCTGCCTCTGCCTCTCGAGTGCTGGTATTAAAGCACCACTACCACCCAGCCATAAAAATCTATTTAATAGCTTGCCATTATAGCAAGGTGGTGGTGGTTCACGTGTTTAATCCTAGCACTAGGGAGGCAGAGGCAGGCAGATCTCTGTCAAGTTCAAAGCCAGCCTGGTCTACAGAGCAAGTTAGAGGACAGCCAGGGTGACATATTGAGGTTCTGTCTCAAAAAACTAGGGGAAAAAAATCATGCTTATGTGAGGTCCTGCCTCAGGAGGTCAGCATGTCTATAAAAAGACCATAAGAACAACCTGACTTCATATGTGCCAGGGAAGCATGGTGCTGACTGAGCTACAACCCTAGCCAAATACATCCTTCGTAAAAGTATGCCTAGGAAGAGCTGGGTGAGGTGGCGCACACCTTTAATCCCTGCGCTCAGAAAGCAGGCAGGTGGAGCTCTGTGAGTTTAAGGCCAGGACTACTTAGTGAGGTCCCATATCAGAGAGAGAGAGAGAGAGAGAGAATGTGTGTGTGTTATGGGGAGAATCAACAATGGACGAGACCCAACCTCTGGCCCCACACATATTTGTATGCATACCTACAAGCATATCACACACAAAAAAAGAAAGAAGGAAAAAGAATTTTTAAAAAACAGAATTAAATTGAGATCATGGTGAAAGAGATTCAGAGCGGCCGAAAGGCTACCTGTCTCCTCAATTTGAGATTTGCCGGAAATGGTGGAGGCCACCACAGCGGCCGTGGCCTGGTTCACTCCCCGCGAGGCCTGCTGAAGCTGGGTCAGATTGAGGCTGCCCTTGTTAGCTTTCACCTGCCGGGACAAAGGACATTAATGTTCAGCTCCACCAGAAGCAGCGAGGACGGTACCAAGCAGCTCGCCTGGTGGCACTCAGCCACCACCAACTGTCGCCACCGGGTCACCAGTCACCCTCCCAAGGTCACTGTTTCCTGTGCGACCAACCCCGACATGTCTCGAGGGGAAAGTGACCCTGGCATGTCGGCTGGGTCGCCCTACGCTCCAGCTTGCACAGCTGTCTACAGGAACTCGTCTCTGTGGGGGAAAACCTGGGATCAAAGAGATGCGGGAGGAACAAAGAACACTTATGGGGTGAAGCTCTGCTTCACTGGTGAGGAGCCCTTGGTCAACAGCTCTGCGTGAGGATGAAATGGGGCAGTGGTTCAGACAACGGAGGGGCAGACATGGGTTACATGGACTGTAAGGGACAAGTCAGGTGACCTGTAGTCTGTATCAAGTTTCATCACCCTTGGCTGGCCTGGAACTTACCATCTAGACCAGGCTGGCCTTGAATACAGAAGATAAGACTTCCTGCCTTTGTTTCCTGAGTACAGGGATCAAAGGTGTGTGCCAGCACGCTGGGCTATAGATACCACGCTCAGTGAACAGATACTGTTTTAATTTTGGATACTAGGGATGGAGCCCAGGGCCATGTGCTTGCTACACAGGTACTCTACCACTGAGTCACGCCCGCAGCCCCTCACTGGGGGATTCTAGGCAGGGGCTCTACCACTGAGCCACACCCCAGCCCCTCACTGGGGGATTCTAGGCAGGTGCTCTACCACTGAGCAATGGTCCCTGCCTCTTACTAGGGTAAGTGCTTTGCCAGTAAACTCTACCTTCATCCCATTTTAAATGACCTTTTATTGTTTTATTTATGTAGTATTTATGTGTAGGGGTACATGTGGAAGTCAGAGAACATGTATGAAACACTAACTGTGGCATTCATTTCTCTCATCCACCTATGTAGGTACCAGAGATCAAACTCACATTATCAGGTTTGACAGCAAATGCCATCTCCCTGGCTCCTGTTTAAATTTTTTATTTTGAGCCAAAGTCTTGCTCAGGTTGTCACTAAATTTACTTTGAGCCCAGGCTAGTCTTTCACTTTTAATTCTCCTGCCTCATCTTCTCAGGTAGGCAGGATGAGAGGCCTATGTCACCTGGTCCACCCAAAAGTTCCTTGAATGACGGCATTGCTACTTGGAGGCTGGCATGCCTGGGACCCTCAAAAGCTTTCTAAGGATAATGACGAGAACAGCAAGGCACGCAAGTGATGAGACAGGTGGGTAGAGGGGCTTCTTGCTGTTGTCATATATTAGGCTTTTAAAAGAGGTTGCTATGGCTGGACAGTGGTGGCGCACGCCTTTAATTCCAGTATTCAGGAGGCAGAGGCAGGCAGATCTCTGTGAGTTCAAGGCCAGCCTGGTCTAAAGAGCAAGTTTCAGGGCAACCAGGGCTACAAAGGGTAACCTGTCTTTAAAGAAAAAAAAAAAAAAAAAAAAGGCTGAACTTTTACTCAGGACCCAACCAAGCAGGGCCATGGATTATCACCTGTCCTAGAGGTCGGTTTCATGGCTCAAGTCCTCTCTAATCAGCCTCACAGTGTGCTGGAGCAGCCAGCACGATTGCGCCTACCTTGGATGCAGCCACAAGCTGGGCTGTGCTAGCCGCAATCTCGTGTGAACACACCATCAGTTCCTCGAACTTCCCTTTGCCTTGGACCACGAGATCAGCAGCATCCCTGGGAACCCAGAAGAACCACGAAGGGTGAGGTCGCAGAGAGCAGAAGCCACCATGATCTCACCTCAACAGGAAAGGCAGCCTGCCTGCCCTACCCCATGTTGTCCTAGGAGAATGTAGGTCTCTCTCAAACTTCCAGGACTGGCCACTTCTTTTTGTACTTTTGTATTTAATTGTGTATGTATGCAAAGATGTGTGTGTGTGTGTGTGTGTGTGTGTGTGTGTGTGTATGTGTGTATATGTGTGTGTGTGTGTGTGTGTGTGTGTGTGTGAGAGAGAGAGAGAGAGAGAGAGAGAGAGAGAGAGAGCGAGAGCGCATGTGGAAGCCAGAGGGCCACCTCAGATATCTTTCCTTAGGTGTAGTTTTTTGGGATTAGAGTCTTAGAGTCTCACTATACAGCCCTAGTTGCCTCAAACTCAGAGTTCCATCTGCTTTGGCTCTCAAATGCTAGGACTGAAGGCACACATACCCCATGTCTGCCTCAGCTTATTCTTTAGATATGCTCTCTTTTTTGTTTTTAAATTTATTTGTATGGTGCTTTGCCTTCATGTATGTATGTATGTGTGAGGGTATTGGATCCCCTGGAACAGGAGTTACAGACAGCTGTGAGCAGCCATGTGGGTGCTGGGAATTGAACCTGGGTCCTCTAGAAGAGCAGTCATTGCTCTTAATCACTGAGCCATCTCTCCAGCCCCAGATTTTAACAACTTTTGGGGCCAGGTATGATGCTGCATGTCTTTGATCCCACCACTTGGGAGGCAAAGGCAGGTGGATCTCTATGAGTTCAAGGCCAGCCTGGTCTACATAGTGAATTCCAGGCTATCCAGGGTTACCTAGAGAGACTCTATGCTATGAAATGGATACTTTTTTCTCTCTTAGCAACTGTCCGGGGTGGATCAGTGGAATGGGGAAGGGGATATAGGAGCCTTGGAGGAAGACACTTACACCATGATGGTAGCTCCCCAACCAACAGCTTTGGAGGCAGATATAAGTCCTTCTGTCCACCGAGAGTTCTTGGCATAAAATTCTTTAGGGGATGCAGTACCCTATAGAAGCAAAAATAGAATAGTTTGGTTAGTTGTTTTTATTTTATTTTCATCCTTAAACAGATTTCACATATAAATGCCTAGCTTGCATGTACATGCTCCCCATGAGTGTGCAGGTCAGAAGAGGGTTCAAATGCCTTGGATTTGGAGTTAGAGGGTAGTGAGCTGCCACGCTGGGTGCTGGGACTCAAACCTTGGATCTTCTGCAAGAGCAACAAGTGCTCTTAACTGTTGGGCCATCTCTCCAGCCTGGGTTGTTTTTAGGCAGGCTTTACTACATAGCCAAAGCTATCACCCAATTCTTGTTCTTTCTGCCGCAGCCAAGTGTCAACACTATAGGCATGTACCGCCATACCCAGGTTTTTTCTTTTGAATTAAATTTATTTGTATATTTTGTGTGTACATGTGGGTGGACATGTTCATGCCATGGTACAAGTGTGGAGATCAGAGGACAGCTTGTAGGAACTGACTCTATCTTTCTATCACGCATTACCTGGAGCTTGAACTCATACTGTTAGGTATGCAGCAAGCTCCTTTACTTGCTGAGCCACCTTGCTGGCTCACTAGCCAGCTATTAATGGCTAATTTTACAGAATGACTCTCAAGCACTAAGTGCCTTTATTCTCACATTAGGTATAAGAAAACTAAGATGCAACGAGGCAAAACAATATCCCTAAAGTCTTGGAGGTAATGAATTAAAGTAAAGCTCTAGCTTTTAAAAAGGATTTATTTTTAACTTTTATTTTGTGTGTGTGTGTGTGTGTGTGTGTGTGTGTGTGTGTGTGTGTAAGAAAATGTAGGTGCCCAGTGATGCCAACGGCATCTGATGCTCTGGAGCCGGAGCTGCAGGCAGTTGTGAGCCACTGATGTGGATGCTGGGAGCTGAACCCAAATGGCTCAGCCGACCAGGAAGTGCTCAGACAGCCTTCCAGCCCATAATGTGGTCTCTATATATAGACCAGGCTGGCCTTGAACTCACAGAGATCTGCCTGCCTCTGCCTCCCAATACTGGAAATAAACCATGCATGGTTTTATGCAGAGTCTGGGACAGAATCCATGGTTTTTATAGATGACAGGCTAGGACTCTACCGATTGAGCTACATCCTCAACTCATGAAGGGAGCTTTGAGAGAAGGTTCAGCTATGCAGCCCATACTGAGGTCAAACTTGAGATCCTCCTGCCTCAACCTTAGGAGCATTTGTTAAATTGTTAAAAGGGTTAAGTGTCTGCAGGTCTGGAAATCTCCCATGTCTGAGGGATGACAGTACCAGGTCTATGGCTGGGATCTGCCCAGTTTCCCAAAGTCCTCAGCTGTCCCCTGAAGACCTAGATTTGCAGTGTCAGCGGGGTTTCCACAGTAGGGCTGTATGGCCTCTGGGAGCTGAGGCTAGAAGTTACCGGCTGATTGTTCCCTAGAGGGAGCCACCAGGAACCCTCAACTGCCCACAGTGTCTGGGAAATATCCCCAAGAATGGCAGATCTGCCCCGTGGTGTAGTACCGTTGGCGCCCACAGCAAAACCAGATTCTAGCACGCGCGGAGGGAGAGGGAGCTGACACCACAGCCCTGCCTACCCTGCCACTTTCCACGATCTCCTTCTGGAGGTCCTTGGAGGCCACAACGAGGACCTTGATGGCTTGCATCAGACTGGTGCAGGAACCAAGGATCCTAGTAAAAAGAAAGGGTTGGTGACGGGACACTAAGAAGAAAAACAACTTGATTTCATCCCGAAGCCAGGAAAACCATGAGTAGCAATGAGGGGTAGGAAGGGTGTTGGGATTGCTGGAGGACCCGGAGGCAGTGCCTTGCTGAGTGACACTTCCCTGTGGGCCTTGCTTTCAAGGACCTTGCTTACTACTTACTGCGACCACAATGCTCTCACTGACCTTTCGTTCACCTCCAACTTGACTCCCGTGTCTCCTGCTCGGGACTTACTGAGTATTTCCTGTTAAAAAGAAGCATGTCTGGTTTCTTTTCTCTCTCTGTGTGTGTGTGTGTGTGTGTGTGTGTACTACTGGGAATTGAGCCCAGGCTTCCTTCATACTCTCTGATAAACAATGACCTCAGGTCCTCACTGTTGGGGGATTCTAGGCAAGCTACATCACCACCCCAAGAAGCATGGCTCCTAAATGTATCATGAACCCGATCTACCACCACTGCCTTGATACTCTCTGGATCCAACAAGGTGTGGTAGCCTAGAAGGCTGAATCTAGATATCTTCATCTCTGTCTTTGTGAGTCAGAAAAACCCCAGACCCCCTATCTATCATCTATCGGGTGGTAGACAGCTGGAGCTGATGGCTCTAGCCAGGGTGAGTCTTGACCTTGGCCCTTGGGCCGCTGTGCGTGAAGCCCACTAAGAACTGTCCCCTAGGGCCAGCTGCTACCAGATCCACTAGGCGGGCGCTCACATCGCCAAAGGAGCCATGTGAGACCTTTCCAACGGGGCCCATTCAGCTAGCTGCTCCTGAGGAGTTCTTGAACACCCATCAGGCTTCCTCTGGCATTTTATTATTAGGACGGTGATGGCTGGCTCTACCTGTCAACCTGACAGCCGAGACTCACTCAGCAAGAGACTTTCAATGAGAGACTTTGGGTTGGCTTGTGGGGAACGTCTGCAGGAGGGATGTCTTAAGTTAACTGATGTGGGATGACCCAGCCCACCATGAGCAGCACCATTCCCTAGACAGGGAGTACTGAACTGCGTAAGCGGGGAGAAATCAAGTTGAGCGCAAGCAAGCAAACACGTGTGCACTAATGCTCTGCTCTTGACTGTGGATGAGATGTGATGATGAGACTCCCAACTCCTGTGGCCACAGTGACTTCCCTGCAGTGCCCTCAAACTGTAAGCAAAAATAGACTCTTCTCCCCTAAGTTACTTTTTTTTTTTAAAAAAAATTATTTATTGTGTATACAGTGTTTTGCCTGCAGGTCAGAAGAAGGCACCAGATCTCATTATAGATGGTTGTGAGCCGCCATGTGGTTGCTGGGAATTGAACTCAGGACCTCTGGAAGAGCAGCCAGTGCTCTTAACCTCTGAGCCATCTCTCCAGCTCCTAAGTTGTTTTTAAAGATGTTTTATCACAGCAACAGAAATGAAGCTACGTCAATGGCTGTCCTAAAGAAACAGGATTTAAACCCCAGCCAGGTGGTGGAACTCACGTAAGTCATGTGATTATCAGCCAGCCTGGAAATCGAACCCCAGATGGCTGACAGCAAAGTATCCTACCTCGGAGGAAACTGCCTCTCTTTCTCTTAAGGGCCTCGTTTTCATCCCCTCATTGGTGTAGTGACCTTGGACTTTGATTTTGTTTTCTCTTTCTTTTCTTCTTCTTTAAGAGACAATATCTCACATAGCCCAGGCTGGCTCCAAACTACTATACAGCTAAGGATGACCTTGAATTCACCTGCTCTACCCCCGGGGCTGAGGTCATAGGTCTGTACCATCAATCACACTGAGCAGTTCTGGCTTCTCTGGCAGGAGTCTAAGACACTCCTGAGGCGCAGTGCTGCCCGAGGGAACCGATGGGAGTGTTGCTGTGGGAAATCCCACAGAGTCCTCTCACCTCTATCCGGGTGGTGGCAGCCTCAATGGCAGCTGAAGTGGCGGCCAGCTCCTTGTCTACGAGGTCACCCAGCTCTTCCTGTTTGATGTCCAGGCCCCTGGGCAGCAGTTCCTGTGAGCAGTACCACAGAGGTTAAAAGGACACGAAGTCTTCTCTTTGTTCGTTCCTGGCCCTGTCACGGGACCCTTCTAGAAGGCACGGGAGGCAGGGTCTGTCACAGACTCCACCTGGAACTTTCCAAGATATGACTGCTGGAGCCTCATCATCCTCCTTTCTCTGTTCTTCTCACAACCACGCCCAGCTGGGAGCTACCAGTCCCCAACCCCACAGAGCCGTTCAGCTACAGTTATTGTGGCCCTATGCTTACCCTTGGCTGTCAACTTGATGGGACTTAGAATCACCATGGAAACAGACCTATGGGCATGTCTGTGAGGGAGTTTCTCGATTGGGTTAACTCAGTTGAGAAGACCCACTTGAATGTGGGTGGTACCATTCCATGGGCTTGGGGGCGGGGACTGAATGAAAAGAAGAAAGTGAGCCGAGCACCGGCATCCATCTCTCTCTGCTTCCTGCTGGTGGATGCCTCGCGCTCTGCCACCATGCCGTCTCCGCTAAAGCTTCAATGTGAGAGCCAAAATAAACCCTTCCTTCAGTTGGTCTTGCCGGGCATTTGTAACAGCAACAAGACTAACACAGGCCCCAATCTCATAGTCACAGGCATCAACTGTATCTAAGGGGAGAGTTCTTGTCTTTGAGATAGGATCTCACTATGTAGATCAGGCTAGCCTCAAACTCCCCTGCCTCTGATGCTGAGTGTTGGGATTAGGAGTGTGAGCTACCACACCTATTCCGACCCCCACCCCTTTATTTTTCCTGAGAAAGGGTTTCTCTGTGTATATCCCTTGCTCTCCTGGAACTCACTTTGTAGACCAGCCTGACCTTGAACTCAGAGATCCCCCCTGCTTCTGCCTCCCAAGTGCTGGGATCAAAGGTGTGGGCCACCATGTCTGGTATTAATTTTTTTAAACAAGGTCTCATGAAGCACAGATTAGCTTTAAACTCTCCACATAGCCCCGACTGTCCTTGAACTCCTGATCCCCCTGCCTCAGCCTCCCAAGAGCTGGGATTACAGGCAGGTCCCACCAAAGCCTGTCATCTTACTGTTAACTAGATCTCAAATTCATCTCTAGGGCACCGAACAGAAACACATGCTCATGCATTTTTGTATTTTCATAAATACCTAATGCAAACTTTTTGTGCGTGCATGGTCACATGTGTAGAGGGCCACATGTATGTACAGATGTGAACATCCATGCATGTATGGAGCCAGAGGCCAACTTGAGGTGTCATTCCTGAGGAGCCATCCTCCACCTTTAATCCAAGGCACAGTCTCTTCCCTGGCTGGTGATTCACCAGGCTGGCCATACTGCCTGGCTGGAGAGCCCCAAGGAGCCTGCCCAGCTATGTGGATTCAAGTCTGCACCACCATGATCAGCCGTTTTTCTTTTCTCTCTTTAATATAAGTTCTGCAGATTGAACTCACGATCTCATGCATTTTGGGCAAGTACTTTGTCCAGTGAGCTACCTCTTCAGCCTCTCTGAAAGTCATTTTGTGGATACCCAACATATACACTCTAGCTTTATGGAATGAATGCGTGCCCTGTGGTAAGATGCTACCCACTGAGCGACACCGCCACCACCTTCCTGAGAAGGGCTGTGCCGACTTTTGAGAGCCCGTCACAGCTGGGCTTGTTGACTTCCGATATTAGCTCATAGGAGGGGGTGCAGAGGCCTGTACCTAAGGGTCCAGCCACTGCTCCCAGTCACTTGTATGTAATTCTGCTTTAATGGCACAGCGTCCTCGGGGAAGGGCAAGAGACGTGGGGGTCCAGCTATGTAACCATAGAGAAGCCATCACCTGTGTTGGGTGAAGACTTTGCAGAGAGGCTGTCAGTCATCCCTCACACCCTGTTCTGTAAGGAAAGCCAGACTCGTTGGTACCCCAGGAGGAACTTCAGTGGAATGGGATTCTAGTTTGTCAATGGGACCTCAGCGGGAGGGAGCAGGCATTGTTTACATCTCCTTGGGGTGTGAATTCTCACAATACTTTTGGGTCTGTGTCCATGTTAGGTGTCACTTGCCAAGCCAACAACAATACTTAGAGATGGGTAACAATTTATCCTCTTCTCTGACAGTGATGCACCGTGGTGCCGCCAGCAGGCCAGTGAATTAAACCACATAAACGAGGTACAGTGGTCTAGGCCTGTAATCCCAGGAGGTGGAGGCAAGAAGAGAGGAATTCAGGGTCATCCTTGGCTACATAGAGAGTTCGAGGCCAGCCTGGGCTACAAGAGACCTGTCTCAGACAACCACAGAACAACAAAAATCAAACCACATCACTAATGGTACCTCGCCAATGGCCTTGATCTTGCTGAGGAAATTCCTCATGGCTGTGCTGTCGGCCTTCTTCATGGCTTCATCTTCCTCCAGGGAGGACAGAAAGGCTAGGGTTTCCCTGCCATATTGCCTACAGGCCTCTGTTAGAGCTGGAGACAGGAGAGACAGGTGTTTAAACACCTCTTGTTTTCCCTGTTCTCAGGGGCCTCCCCTCCACCCTGATACTCACAGTCAGCTGGCTCGGGCGGGGCCCGGAGGCTGGTGGCGCTTCCCTGAATGATGGTGTCGCTAGTCAAGTGGGCAAGCAGGGTTATGGAGTGCAGAAGCTCACTGATGTCTGCAGGGAGTAGGACGTAAAGTCTCAGGCCCAGTGGTGGCGCCACTGTCTTTTTATTCCTTTTCAGATTTATTTTTACTTAATACTTGTGATACGTATCCTGAATGCAGATACCCCCAGAGGCCAGAAGAGGGTGTCAAATCCCCAGGAACTGGGGTTTCAGGCAGCTGTGAGCAGCCTGAGGTGAGGTGGGAGTGGAGAACCGAACCTGGGTCCTCCGCAAAGACTAGTGCTCTTAACCCCTGGCCGAGTGCTCTTAACCCCTGGCCGTCTCTCCAGCTCCCCTCTGGTTGCCCCTCACAACAGAGCCCATGTCCTCTGTTCCGCTTACCTTCTGGGCAGACCAGATACTGGCTGTGGTTCTTCTCCAGTTGCTCGAGGCAGCTAGACACAGCCTTGACTTTGGAGAGAAGGTGATCTGAGGGAAGACAGGCCGCATCAGAAAGGAGTTCTCACATTTGCTCTATAGAAGCAGCTGGGTGGGCGGGATGACCCTCCGGGAGTCCCTGCCCCTTAGATAGGAGGAGGGAAGGAGGGCTGCTGGCTGTGCTCGTTCTAATGTGATGGACACATTCTATTTGCTTCCTGCTTTCTTTTGAGGTGGGGTCTCACGCAATCCAGGCTGGCCTTGAACTCACTATGCACCAAGGATGGCCTTGAAGTTCTGACCTTCCTGCCCCTTTCCCAAAAGTGTGGGAAATCAGGCATGAACCATCAGATCCAGTATCTACAGTACTAGAATTAGAACCCAGGGCTTCGTGCACACTAAGCAAGCACTGTACCAACTGAGCCACACCCCAGCCTCCAGAACTGTCTCTCACTTTACTATTATGGTACTGCTTACCATGGCGGCACTGAACGCTAAAAGGTGCGAAGCTCAAGGGTCTCTTAAAGGCTAATTGATATTGATATTATTATTATTTTATTTTGAGACAGGGTTTCACTACATAGCTCTGTCTGCTGTCTGCCCCGGAACTCACAAGATCCTCCTGCCTCTGTCTCTGCCTCCCAAGTATAAGTTCACGTCCCAATGCTTGGTTTCCCAGTTTGGGCGCTACTTTGGGAGGCAATGGAAATGTAGGAGGTGGAGCCTATTGGGGCAGAGTAGGTCACAGGGGGCAGATCTCGGGAGTCAGTTCTTCCTGCCTATTTCCTGGCTTGTTCTCAGCTCAGTCCACCATGACTGTGATTAGCGTCCATCACATGTTCTCACAGCCATGAAGACAGCTGCTCTTCCATGCCTGCCTCTTCACTGTGGCCCAGAACTTTCTGAGACCGTGGCCCAAATGAATCTTTCCTCCCTTAAGTCACTTCTGTCATGCTAGGGTCAGCGCGACACAGCACAATGGGCCAACGGCTGAGGCAGTGGGTGGCCAGAGGCAGTGGGTGCCTCACCGGCCAGGCTGACGAAGTCACAAGCGCTCAGGCAGTAAGCCACTTTAACTGACCTAGGGCGAAGAGGGCGGGCACACCCCAGGGGCTCGGCGCACAGCTAGGCCGAGGGCCCTGAGCTGGGTGGGCTTCCTGTAAGATCGAACTCCAGGCAGCCAGGCCCAGCAGGTGGGCATCAGAAGATTACCTGTGGACCCTGCACAGCTGATGAGGGCGGGCTCCTCAAGTTGGCTCAGTGCCTCCTGTATCTCACGCTCCGCAGCCTTCCTGGACCCTGCCAAGAGTTTTTTCCTCTGGTCCTTTATCTGCTGGCACACGGATTCCTAGAAAAAGGCCAGAAAGGTGGGAGTTGGCCAGGCACACCACAATGAACCCCAAGCAGCATCCACCTGGGACCACACTGGGATGCCTGGCCTCTCATGATGGCGCTAATAAGATCCAAGCTGGTCAGTTCCACGCGGAAAACAATATCTGACCTTGGTCAACAGGTGTGCGCAATGGACCAGTGACCCACCTGGTGATCCACTCCCAGGGTGGCTGAGGATTGCTAACGTCGTCATCTTGATTAAGATAACCCCGGATTAATAAAGCACACCTCTGGCTGTGTCTTAGAGGATTTCTAAAGATAACTAAAACCCAACATGGGTTCTCTGGGAGAGTACAAGCATTGAGCCTCTGAGACATCTCTCCAGCCCATATTATATTAAGGCAGGGACTCATGTATCTCAAGCTGGCCTCAAATTCAGTATTAGAGAGCTGAGGCTAGCTGAAACTTCGGATCCTCCTGTCTCTACCTCCTGAGTGCTGGGATTACAGGTGTGAGCCTGCATACTCTGTTGACGTGGTCTGCAGACCAAACTCAGGACCCAGTGCAGGCGAGACAAGTGCTCTGCCTACTCAGGTATATCCCTGGCCCACATAGTTTTCTTCTTATACAAAAAGAGGCACTTGGCTTTAGGAACTGTGTCCACAGAAAGCCTTGGCCACCAGGCCCGAAGGCCTTGAATCCGCCACTGCCCATCCATCTCTGGCTTCCACAGTGTCCCAGTGGATGTCTGTCACTTGCCTGGGCACTGGCCAGTTTGATCTGGGTGCTTTCCAGCTGGTCTCGGAGGGCGGAGAACTCTACTTCTCTCTGAGCTGCGGCCGTCGCCAAGCTGCCCTGTTCCTTCTCCAGTTCGGCGATCTGCGTCAGCCACTTCGCTTCTGACTGCGGAGGTCACCATGTGGAAACAGGGAGAAACTGAGGACATTAATTGGTCCCCTTCACTGGGACTCCAGCCCCCACCACCTGACTCCACATGGCAGGCGGCGATAGCTCGTCCACACGCCTATCACTGGCTCAAAGAGTAAGTGTGGATTACAACGACGGCCAGAGGGCTCACGGGAGGGACTGAGGCACCAGAGGGAAGGGGTCGGGGAGTGGCTCACCTGGGCAGAGGTCTCCAGGCTGCTGTGGAGGACCTGGAGCTCTTGTCTGCTGGTGGCTAATTCATGCTTCAGGTTTTCCAGAACATCCTGCTGTTCTTGAGTCTGAAACACAGGCAAAACAGGAGCACCGTAGCTGGGAGTCATGAGAAGGAATACTCATATGTATACACTTCCCAAGCTATTGATTGAGACCGTGCACACCACTGGGTCTAAGTCAGAAGTGTGGGTGTAACACAGCCTAGAAGGTGACCACCCAGACCCAATAGTAAGAACTCATGACTAAGATACACACACACACACACACACACACACACACACACACACACACCCTTTTCCTTTCTTGAGACAGGGTCTCAAGGCGGGCCCTGAACTTGTTATATATTCAAGGATGACCCTGCCCTATTGCCTTCACCTTCCAAGTGTTAGGATTATAAGCATGCACCACCATGCCTGGTGGTGCTGGAGATGGACCAAGCGCCTCCTAGGTGAGCATGCTTGGTAAGCACTCTATCAACCGAGTGACACGCCCAGTCCCCAGTATCTGCTCCTCGGAGTGGTCCAAAGGTCCTCTGGAAGCCACTCCTGGAACATGATGAGTCCTCTGATCCATGTCTGCCTCAGAGTCGTTTGCAGGGGTCAAGGGGATGACTGAGCGGCTCAAGGTGCTTGCTGCTGATCTAGATGATCTTAGTTGAGACCCCCAGACCCAGACGGTGCAAGGAGAGAACTTAAACTCACAAGTTGTCCTAAGACGTCAACATGCACGCTGTTACGTGTACATCCACACACACACATATGCAACAATAACACTATTTAAAAACCCACTTCCAGTAGACACCTCCCTCCTACATCCCAAGTGCCTCTCCTGCTCACCTTCCGCTGGGCCTGCTCACTTACACGGGCAAAGGAATCTTCTAGTTCTTTCTTCTCTCTCTCCAAATCCACCTGGGCTTGCCTTGCCACAGACACCTGTTTGGTAACCTCTGCATTCTGAAAGGGAGAAGAGTGTCTTGAGCTGACATCTCTCGGGCTCAACTCCAATCTTCCTTCTAGTACCAGTGATTTCTATCAGACCGTGAGAAGGTCTGAGGAGGCAGATACGGGAGAAGTTTTTTTTTTCTACCCAGAGGGAAGCCAGAATGGAGTCATGACCTGCAGATGCTAGACTTTCAGGTATTTATAAAAATACACAGATGGGGTAAGGTGGGGTTGTCTGGTGTAGTGTTCTTCCAGGCTGGCTTGGAATTCACTATGCAGCCCAGGCTAGCCTCAGATTCACAGCAATCCTCTTGCCTCTGCTTCTTAAGTTTGGGGATTGCAAGAGACATTACACCTATTTAGTTATTTTTTGCGACTGCTATTTAGTCCTGGCTGCCCTGGAGTGCTGGGTTTAAAGTCATGTGTCACCCACCACACATGGCTATTTTTTTTTGAGGATCTTGCCTCTGCTTTCTGAGAGAATTACAGGTGTGTTCCACTATGCCCATCCCAAATGAGGGGTAATTCTAACTGTGTCTGTCACACAAGACAGAACTTAGGAAGACTTACCAAGCTGGGGTAAGAAATGGGAGCGCTAAGTGGTTAAGAGCACACGTGGCTCTTCCAAAGGACCCAGGTTTGGTTCCTAGCACCCATGCTGGCCGGCTCACCATCCCTGTCATTTCAGCTTCAGAGGGGATCTGATGCCCTCTTTTGGCCTCCTTGAGCAACTACATACACATGCGCATACACATGCACAGAAGAATAAACAGAAGGGCATCTTGGAGAAACCCAAGGTTTGCACCGTTTCTTCTGTAATGTGGGGTATATAGGAGGGATAGAGGAGTCAAAAGTTCCTACCTTCCGTAGCAGGTCAGCGTGATTCTGAACCAGCTCACTATACTTCTCTTTTAGCTTGCTATACCGCTGTTCATTGGCCTGGGCCTTTCCTGCATTGGGAAAGACCAAGGTGAGGCCACTGCCCTGGCTGGGATCCCCCATCCTCCCTCCAGTAAGCTGGGGGCCCTTAAAGATGTTTTTATCCTTATTTATTTATTTACTTTTTGAGACAGGGTTTCTGTGTAACCACTCAGGCTGTCCTGGAACTCACTCTGATGACCAGGCTGGCCTCGCACTTAGAGATCCGCCTGCCTCTGTTTTTTATTGTTTGTTTGTTTGTTTGTCTGTTTTCCAAGACAGGGTTTCTCTGTAGCTATCAAGCCTGTCCTGGAACTAGCTCTTGTAGACCAGGCTGGCCTCAAACTCACAGAGATCCACCTGCCTCTGCCTCCCGAGTGCTGGGATTAAAGGCGTGTGCCACCACCGCCCGGCTCCTATTTTTCTTTTTTTTTATTTATTTATTTTTTATTTTATTTATTTATTTTTTTAAATTTTTTTTTTTTAATGTTGGGTAGTACAATAACCCCTGTGGTTTCTCCAGTAAGGGCTGTTTTCTCTACCCCTTTGTCTAGGAGGAGTGTATCAGCAAAGTCTTGCTTCATCAGACTCAGCCTTCTTGGTCCTCCAGTCTATTTTTCTTTTTTTAAACACATGGTCTCACGTAGCCCAGGCTGGCCTCAAACTGGCTACATAGCCAACATGACTTTGAACCCCTGAGCCTCCCGAATGCTGGGATTACAGGTGTCCATCTCCACACTCAGCTAGAAGTTACCTAATTTATTATTATGATTATGATTATTATGGAGACAAGGTCTTGCAACAGAGCCCAAGCTAGCATTATGGTCATCCTCCTGCCTTAGCCTCCAAAGTTCAGGAATTACAGGTAAACACACCTGTACTACACTGGACATAAATAAAGGTTGTCTTCTTTAAATAAACACTCGCCTGATTCAAATTCTTCTGCAGACCAAAGCTTACAAACACAGAGTGGTAATTTAAAAGAAAATGGCTCTCAAAGAGAAGGGTACTATTAGGAGGTGTGGCCTTGTTGGAGGAGGTGTGTCACTGAGGGGGTGGGCTGAGGTCTCCTGAGCTCAAGTTACTGAGTGAGAGAAATCACTTCCTTTTCCAAGCAAGATATATTAACTCTCAGCTCCAGCACCAAGTCTGCCTGCATGCTGCCATGTCTCACCATGATGATAACGGACTGAATTTCTCTGAACTGTTGCAAGGCACCCCAATTAAAATAATGTTCTCCTGGCCAGGCAGTGGTGGCGCACGCCTTTAATCCCAGCACTCAGGAGGCAGAGGCAGGCGGATCTCTGTGAGTTCGAGGCCAGCCTGGTCTACAAGAGCTAGTTCCAGGAGAGGCTCCAAAACCATAGAGAAACCCTGCGTGGTAGCTCAGGCCTTTAATTCCAGCACTTGGGAGGCAGAGACAGGATAGGAACTCCCATCATCTGTGTGTCCTTGGTTGCTAAGGGCTCAGCTGTGCCAAACCTGTCTCTGCATTTGAGGACAAGAGCCAGCACCTCGGGGTTTACTTCCGGGAAGCAGGACGCTACTTCCGGGAAGCAGCCCCAAGCCCTCTTGCTCCCCGCCCACACCCTCGGCGCCAGCCCCTCACTTTCTATCTCAGTCAGGCTGCGCTGTGCTTTCTCCGTGTCCTCCCGCTGCCTCTTCAGCTCGTCCAGCTCGGTGCGCAGGAACTCGCAGTCATCGGTAGCCTGCCGCCCCAGGTGCTGCTGCTCCGCCAGCTCTGCCTCCAGCTCGCTCACGCGGCCCTTCAGCTGCAGCATCGCCCGCTGGCTCTGTGAGGGGCACCCGTGGTGAGGAGCCTGCTATCGTAAGGCTGCCCCAAGGGAGGCACCAGGCAGGGCAGGGATGACTTATCCCCTTGCTGGCATTGACGGATCACAGATCCAACCACCAAAGAACTTTTTTTTTTTTTTGCTTTTGTTTTGGTGCTCTGGGCAGGGAGCCTAGGGTCTTATTCATGTTAGGCAAGTACTGCTGAGACACACCCCAGCCCCTCACTGGGGGATTCTAGGCAGGGGCTCTGCCACTGAGTCACACGCCAGCCCCTCACTGGGGGATTCTAGGCAGTACTGCTCAGCCACCCACCCTCTCTCCATGTCCCTAGTCTTTGACTAAAGGAGTCTAGGCAAGCCTCCACCAATGAGTCATGCTTCTTGTCCCTTCCTGGGGCATTTTTGCCCAGTTCTTTACAACTGAGCCACACCTCAAGGCCATCCCTGGTGAATTCTAAGCAGGGCACTATACGGCTGTGGTGTATCATCCCCCCTTACTGAGGGATTCTAGGCAGGAGCTCCATCACACAGCAAGCCCAGCACTGATGGACTTAGAAGAGTTACCTATCATTGAGCTGCAGCTCCAGCTCCTGAATCAAGCTTTCTCAAGGACCTTATGATCAAAATTGGTCTTTCCCATCACTGTCTGACTGCCAAGCCATAATTAGGGCTCAAAGAGACACTGGTACCCAGCTTAACTGCCATCCTAAGGTCACACGTCACGACAAGGAATTCTAATCGAGACCTTGAGATAACCAACTGGTTTTGTCTATTAACCAGCTCGTCTTAGGACGGGATCCAAGCGCTATCACGAGACACGAGGCGGCAAGTGCCCCATGCTGGTGCAGCCCAAGTGCAGATGGATCCTGGCCTGTACCTCAGCCTTCATGCTGTCCAGCTGTCCTGTCAGCCCACTGATCTCTCTGTACAGGCGTTCAATCAAGTGGTCCCTGGAAGAAAAGAACAGGCCTGGTGTCACCGTGTCCCATCCCTGGCCTCCACGTAAGTTGACAGACTGGAAAAGGAGGGAAAAGCTAGTGCTAATTTGGGGTCATTCTCTTAAAACAAACACAGTTATTGGAGGACGATTCACTCTTCCTTTTCTCCTACCTTCCCCTGGCGTGCTAGAATTACAGACATGTGTGAGTGTACTGGGGGGGGGGGGGGTCCTCTGCAGGCTACGCAGCCACTCTGCAAGTGAAGCCACATCGCTAGCCCCATGGAGAAAAATAACTCTTTCCAGTATGAAGCTTACAGTCATCTTTTCTCACCTGAGGGTTCTATATCCATACATTCAACCGAGTAGGGATGGAAACTATTTGGGGAGGAAAAATGGCAACTATATCGACTAGATATAGACCTTTGTTCTTGCCATTATTCTCTAACAATACAGACCAACAGGCTGGTGAGACGGCTCAGAGGGAAAAGATGCTTGCCGCCAATCCTGGCAATCTTAGTTAGGTCCCTGGCACCCAGATGGTGGAAAGGGGGAACTGATTCCCGCAAACTATCTTCTGACTTATACACTAACTAACTAACTAACAGGAAAAGCCATTCCCTCCCAGGCCACAACTTAACTGTGTAGCCAGGTGGCAGCCGTGCACGCCTTTAATCCCAGCAGAGGCTGGAGGATCTCTGTGAATTCAAGGCCAGCCTGGGCTACTGAGCAAGTTCTAGGACAGCCAGGACTGTAACACAGAGAAACCTTGTCTTGAAAACAAACAAACACCCAAAACTTAAAGGTATATAAAAAGAAAAACTCACAGAAAAGAACACTGTATCAGTGTTTATATTATATCAGAAGCTATAAATCATGTAGAGGTTATTTAAAGCATACAGAAAGGGAAGGATGTAGGTTCTAAGCAAATAGTATCCAGTCTCACAACGGTGTCTTGCACAGTGGCTGAACTCTGTGGGGGTGATTCTGAAACCAATAACCCTTGGATACCTAGGGTGATCGGACCCTAAATGTGAGGTTTCTTACCCTGATACCCACAGATTCTGATCTGGGATACAGGGGTGCAAAGACTAACACAATTTCTTAAACTTAAACGTGTGCCTCTGCCTGTTGGTATGTACACACGCATATGGGTGCTCTGGGAGGCCGGAAGAGGGTGTTGGATCTCCGGGAGTTACTGATAGTTACACAACACTTAACACGGGTGCTGGGAAATGAACTTTGCAGCAAGGGCTCCTGGCCACTGACCATTTCTCCAGCCCTGGCCCCTTTCATAGGGAGACTGACCCCAGGCCTTCGGCGTGCTGTGTGAGGGTTCTGAAAGCCCAGGAAGTAAGGATTCTGAGTGTGGCTGAGGTGGCTCTAGGTGAAGACGAGCGTTCCCAAGCCCAACAACCTGAGTTTGTGGGAGGAGAGAAATGACTCCATGACGCTCTCAGACTTCCCCAAGTACATCTTGACACATCCCCGCCCCCACCCCCGCTGACCCACAACACATATAAAAAGTGCTGCGCCAGAGAGATGGCTCAGTAGTTAAGAGCACTTGTTCTTGCAGAGGATCCAAGCTCACTTCCCAATACCTACACTGGACGACTCAGAACTGCCTGTAATTATAGTTCGGGGAGATCAAATACCTATCTCGGGCCTCCATGGCTACACAGACAGACAGACAAAATGGTGGTGACCAATAGGGAAAATACCCAACACTGACCTCTAGCTACCACACAGGCATGCATAGGCAAGTGCACTAGCACACACGTGTATATACATCTACCATGCCACACATATATAAACACATACATGTACTAACACATATACATACTCACACACAAATAAACATACACACACACACACACACACACACACACATACAATCAGACACCCAACAAACAAAGGAGGTGGAGGACAACTATGGAACAGCATTAGAGATTGACTTCTGGCAGAAACACACGCATGCACACACACACACACACACACACACACACACAGAGAATTCCTTCCTCTTGGAGTAGCTGCCACCAGGCAGACCACGGCTTAACTTCATTTCTAGACCGTGTGCTTCCGCCCAGCATGTACTCACTTCTCATCCTTGTTCACGCCATTTTGATTGTTGAAATTGAAGGGGTCGCTGCTCAACGAGCTGCCAAAGATGTCATCAAACTTGTTGTCAAACAAACTCTGCAGTGATTGGAAGGGTGGGGGATGAGCAAAGAACAAGTCAGAGACCTAGGAAGTTGTCTGGGCGTTTGTGTGTGGCGGGTAGATTAGCATGGAACTTACTATTTTATTTTTCACACTGCGTAGCTCTGGCTGTCCAAGAACTCACTATACAGACCAGCCTGGCTGGACACTCTTAGAAATATCCCCCTGCTTCTGCCCCCCCCCCCCCGAGGACTGAAATTACAGTGTATGATGCCACGCCTGCCTCCTTCCTTCCTTCTTGTCTGTCTTTCTTTGTAGTTGAACAAAACTTTATATATATAATGTATACAATATTCTTTCTGCATATATGCCTGCAGGCCAGAAGAGGGCACCAGATCTCATTACAGATGGTTGTGAGTCACCATGTGGTTGCCAGGAATTGAACTCAGGACCTCTGGAAGAGCAGGCAATGCTTTTAACCACTGAGCCATCTCTCCAGCCCTAAACAAAACTTTTTAGCCTGTGTGTATGTCTGTGTCACTGTGTGCACCCTGGTGCTTGCAGAGGTCAGAAGAGGGTGTGGGCTCCTTTAGGACTGGAGTTACAGAGGGTTGTGAGCTACCTTGTGGGTACTGGGAATCAAACCCCAGTCCTCTTCGAAAGCAACAAGCACTCTTATGGCTGAGTCAAACCTCCAGCCCCTTTGTGTGATTAGAGGCATGTACACCACACATGGCTTCAAGAATCTCTGTTTTCTTGATTTGGCTGAGACCTAAGATCACTCCTGGAATCTGAGTGCAGGGAGCTCAGGCTAATCTCCCACTTTCTGATGAGACGGAGGGACACACCTAGGCACTCTGGCACACATGCGCAGATACACCCATCTTAGACGCAGGAGGATCTCGAGAGCCCAGGAATTTGTGACCAGCATGGGCAACATAGTGAGATGCCGTGTCCAAATATTAAAGTCAAACAGACCTTGTCTGAGTAGATAGACTCAAGCTAGGAGCCTCTCCAATTGTCTGTTCTGGGGTCAGCGGGAGGGGCCAAGTTTCTCTCCTATACCTGCTGGGAGGCATCCATGTCCATGAGGTCATCCTTCTCCAGGACTGGCTCGCTGTCTGGAGACGACACCTCCGCTGGGATCACCACCACAGGGCTGATGTGCTCTGACAGGGCTGAGGCGCGGAGGAAGTTGGGTGGATTCTGGAGGAGCAAGACACGCCTTTGAAGGATGCTCACCGGCCAGCCCCAGAGGCACCCTAGATGCATGCGGAGCCCAACATCCGAGCACTCACCTCAGGCAACTGGGGGATCTGAATGAGCCGCTTGAAGTACTGTAGATTGCTGGAACGTTGGAACAGATCTTTCAACCTGGGAGTACACAAGCATCTCAGGGCTGCTGGATGTGGCCGCCAGTCCCAGGAAGACGCGGGACACCGCCCCAGCATCCCCACCCTCTGCCCACCTTAAAGGCACAAGCCGCTGCTGTGCTGCCCTCGATGAGGCCAGGATTTAGTTATGATACTACAGGACCAGGGGATGGCTCAGTGGGTGGAGGCACTTTGCCAACTAAAGAAGCAAGCCTAGTGGCTTGAATTTGATTCCTGGGATCCACATAAAGGGGGAAAGAGGAAACTAACTCCGTAAAGCTGCCCCTGATCTATACACACCCACACCCATGGTGTACACATACACATATACACCTTTCTCTCTCTCTCTCTCTCTCTCTCTCTCTCTCACATACATACATACACACACACATACACACACACAGACACACAAGAAAATAAATTTCAAAGCCAACATTACAGACTGAGGACTTCTATAGTGAGTTCTCAGTCACCAGCAATATTAAGGAGTAATTAATACTGCAGAGCCTCTCGAAGACTGACAGTCTCAGAGCTGGGCAATCTGGATGACAACTGGATGGGACCCAGAATCACCATGGGGGACACACTTCTGGGTGTTGTCTGTGAGGGTGTTTCCATAAAGGTTTAACTGAGGAAGAACCTCCTTCCCCTATGAGTTTGGGTAGGACCAACCCTCTGGGCTGAATCAGGAGAACAAGGACCCTTCCAGAAAGCTCAATGTGCCAAGGCACTGGCTCCCAAACCCGATGACCCGAGTTCAGTGTCTGGGGCCCACAGGGTGGAGGGACAGAACTGATCAGAGCCCTCAAGCTCTGCTCTGCTCTACACATGCGTACTGTGGCATGGGCCGAAAGAGTAAATAAACGTGCGCGCGCAGGGAGAGAAACGGAAATGAAAGTGAGCGGCAGCTTCCCAGGCTCCTGCCGCCATGCCGTCCCCATCACGGTGGACTGCGCCCTCAGACTGGGGCCACAGCACCGCTCCTCCCTTAAGCTGCTGTTGTCACAACAACCACAAAACTAGAAAACCGCCCAGATCCCCAAACTCCTTTTCTCATGGCTGTGGACTCCACACCGCTGTTGGCAGATTCCTCCCGAGGAAGAGTTAGCGTGGAGGAACATGAAAGGGAAGCGACTTTCTCCACCATTACTTTCACACCATGCTGGACTGGACCCCCAAATTCCCAAATTCCCTCAGGCTGTTTTTTGTCATGCATTTTGTTACAGCAACTGGAAAAGAAACATTCTATGATTCTACTCTACTTTCCCTTCCCTTCTTCTCTATTCTATTCTATTCTATTCTATTCTATTCTATTCTATTCTATTCTATTCTATTCTATTCTATTTTTCCTCTATCCAACTTTATCCCAGCCACTCCACTCCATTCTTCCAATCTACGCCGCAGTGCTTGGGGGTAGGAGCCCATGTCTTCATGCACATTACACAAGCATTGTGCATTTGAACCAAACACCAAGCCTCAGAAAGCATTTCCCTCCTGGTCAAGCCTCTAACCGACACAAAGGGGGAGCTGAGGTTCCAGCAGCCTTTGGTTGCAGCACGGAAAGTCTGCTTACTCAGCCCCATCAACCAACCCCTCCCCAGGGTCTCAACACAGTCTATCAGACCCTGAAATTAAAGTGTCCCCGTGACACGAGAGCATCCGCCTCTGTGCGGGAGAGAAAAATGAAGCAGCTACTGCAGGAGATGTTTTCACAAGCTAGGGAAAAAAATGGAAGGAAATAAAACGAGCTGACCACACGTCCCCGTCTCTCTGGATTGGCGCCAACAGTAATAGACGCAAGAGCTTTTGCAAGCTACTGGAATTTCACATTCCAGGAAACCAGCCCCAGGGCCTGCCTCCTAGGATTCAGTAAGTCATTCATCATAGGATGTGCACCATGCTTCCCTAGTGAAGCAAGGAAACCGGGGAGGGGGGGGTGTTAGGTCAACCCTGTGTTTGTCCTTTGACTGCTCCTGAGGGTACTGATAAGTGAAGTACCAGCTAGGGATGTGGAAGCCATGGACAAGGATGAAGATGTTAACAGGGAAAACAAACTATGTCAAGATGGCTGCCTCGCAAGTGAACAATTCACAAAACAAGAAATACAAAGGGCCAACCATGATGGTTAACTTGTATTGCCAACCCGACGACCATTATGGTTAACTTGTGTTGCCAACCCGACGACCATGATGGTTAGCTTGTATTGCCAACCCGACGACCATGATGGCTAGCTTGTATTGTCAACCTGATGTAATCTAGAACCATCTGGAAAAAGTCTCAACAAGGGACAGTCTAGATCAAGTTGGCCTGTGGGGGATTGTCTTGATTGTTAATTGATGTGGGATGACCCAGCCCACCGTGGGCGGCACCATTCCCTGGCTTTGCGCCTTGGGTTATATAAGAACAGAAAAAGCTATCTGAGCAACAAGCATGTGTGCATACATTCTATCTCTGCTCTTGGATGTGATGTGGCTAGATGCCTTGACTTCCCTGAAACAAGAGACAAACCTGGACCTCCACTTCAAATAAACCCTTTACCCTTAGGTTGCTCTATGTCCGGGCAATTGTATCACAACAGACATGAAACTGAGACACAAGCGTTCGCACACACACACACATTTGTATATATGTATATATGACTTAACATCCTTACCCACCAAGAAAATGCAAATTAAAACTACATTGAGAACTTTTCTCTCTGAAGTGTGAACGGCGATCATCAAGAAAACAAGCATGCAGACAAAAGGGAACAAACATGGGGCTGAGAACACGGGGAGAGAATAATTCAAATGCACTGTTGGTAGGTAAAATGGTACAGCCGCAATGGACCACAGAAGCAACACCATAAGGTCTGCCTGTAACATGGCTTCCTATAGGAATCTAATTCAGCACACCACAGAGATACCCGCACACCCATGTTCACTGTGGTGTCATTCACAATAGCCAAACCCCGGAGGCGGCTTAGGTGTCCATCAGCAAATGAATGGATAGAGTGTGGTCTACATATGTTTCATTCAGCTGAAAAGGAGGATTTCAGGGCTGGTGAGATGGCATAGTGGGTAAAGGAATATGCCACTAAGCCTGAGATGGGAATGAAACCCTTCAGTCTCATAGACTCCTGAAAACTGTTCTCTGATCTTCATACACGGGCCAGGAATTCATGCACACATGCACGCAATGCTCTCTGCTCTGCCTGGCTTTTTTAACCCGAGTGCTGGGGATCTGAACTCAGGTCATTGAGCTTCTGTAGGAGACACTTTAACCCCTATCGTAGGTTCTGATCAGACTTCATTCCCCTCTCGAGAGCCACTTACTTTGTGAACTGCTCCATGAAGCGGTCTCGGTGGCCCTGCAGGGTGTCAGCCGGAAGACCTGGAGGAAATCACCAGGAGCATGTGAGTACAGGGACACCAGGGGTCAGGCAAGCCACATCGGGACTGGAGAAGGAGCCAGGGTACCCACGCTGGCACTACCGGCTAAGATGCCCCGAGGTTTGGTAACTAAGAGAACCCCACAGGAGCCGCAGAATGTGAGCCTCTGCATCCCTCCACCCCACAGCTTTGGTTCAGGAGGAATGGAGCCTGCAGCCCTGGGGAAGCAGAGGCTTCATCAAACCGCAGGACTGCAGAGCGCAAGTGGGAGCGGGCTTCGCTCTCAGGTGAGGGACTCATCCATTAGGGCGCGGTGAACTCTTGACACTGCACCAGCGTAGGCCACTCAGGGCCAGTTCCCTAAGGAGTTGCTTCTCTGCGGTCCCTTCATATCCCAGACCACAGGAGGCTACATATTTCAACTGTGAGTTAAAATTCAGTTTTCAATTTATTTTAAGAGGAGGAGGGCTTGCTATATGGCCCAGGCTGGCCTTGAACTCATGAGCCAAAAGCTTCATCCTCCAGTGTGCTGGGATCACAGGCACACCTGGCTTGATTGTAGCTGGTACCACTTTTTAAACTGCACTTTGTCTTTGCATGCGGGTGCCCTTGTGCTACAGGGTAGGTGCAGGTCAGAGACTACTAGCCCTGGGGTGTTGGTTCTTTTTTCCTTGCGTCACATGGAAGACCCACAGCAGCAGGTTTTTGGTTTTTTTTGTTTTTGTTTTTTCCCAAGACAGAGTGTTTCTGTGAGGCTTTGGAGCCTGTCCTGGAACTAGCTCTGTAGACCAGGCTGGCCATGAACTCACAGAGATCCGCCTGCCTCTGCCTCCTGAGTACTGGGATTAAAGGGGTGCACCACCACCGCCCGGCTCACTGCAGCAGCTTTTATTTTAAGTCATCCCCCCATCCCCCCACCCCCACTCACTCTGCTTCCTTCCCTTCTTGTCTCCCTCCACCCTTTCTCTTTCTGGCGCAGAGTCTAGCTATGTTACTCAGGCTGGCCTTGAACTCCTGGACTCAAGCCATCCTCCAGCCTCAGCCTCTCTCGTACCAGGAACAACAAACCATGCCACCGTGCTGTGCTCTTTCTTTGTTTGAGAGACAACATCTCACACCGTAGCCCTGACTATTCTGGAACGTACTATGTAGCCCGGGCTGGCCATGAACTTGTGACAATCCTCCTGCCTCTGATTACAGATGTGTGCCAACAAGTCTTGTTTTTAATTGTTTTTGAACGAGTGATATAAACACAAAGTTCGTGTATAAATTAGGATTATTGAAAGCAATGAAAGTGAGCCAGGCAGATGGGGAGCTGAAGGTCAGTCAGGACGACATATAGAGACCTTGTTTCAAAACACAAACCAAAAACAGATAAAATTAGGCAGAGGATAGAAATAGCATTTAATTTCTATTCCAAAACCCTTGATCTCAGTTCTACTAGGAGAAAAATACGTGAAATTGAGGAAGATTCCACTTTAAAAAAAAAAAAAAATTGGCCAAAACTCAAAGCTACCAAGGTCATCAAAAAGGAAGTCTGACAAGCTGTCACAGCTCTTGGGAGCCTGAGAAGAAGCAATGACTAAGTGTTCCAGGATCCTGGGTGGGAGCTTAGAAGAGGAAACGGTAAGAACGGTGGACATCTGAGCAAAGGGCTGGCTTTAGCTGAAAGTATGTTATAAAGGGGTGAGTGTGGCTCAGTGGTAGAACACCTGCCTAGAATCCCCCAGTGAGGGGCTGGGGTGTGTGACTCAGTGGTAGAGCCCCTGCCTAGA